ATAATATTACAACTTTATTCTCATAATATTACAACTTTATTCTCATAATATTACAACTTTATTCTCATAATATTACAACTTTATTCTCATAATATTATGACTTTATTCTCATAATGTTATGATTTTATTGTCCTGAAGCATCTCAGTAATCCAGGTAAAAAAAAAATCAAAATGAAAATAAATTGTATAGGTCTTCTGGACGGGTTCTTCTCTAATGAAACGTTTCGTCTCTCCTCCAAGAGACTTCTTCAGTCTGAGAGTTTCAGGCAAAATTCCAAAATATGATTTTATTCTTATAATACTTTATTTTCGTAACTTGTAGTTGCATTTTCTTTTATTTAACATCTTATTGCCGCATAAATTTCATCAGCTAAGTTGCTAAACTWACTTTTAAAAAACAAATCCTTCGGTCCGTGGTGAATTTCCAAACTGCGCCGACACGTTAAAAAAATAAAAACACCACCGTCTTCATTTCTCAGTTTGTTTTGCTGCCCGCGCATTGAATCCTGGGATATCCTCGGCTGATAAGGATACATGGATGCATCCTCAGATTTCGACAGGAAGAAGGACGCATTCCTCGGCCGCAGGATGAGGAGCCTTCGAATTGGGACTGTCCTCCGCGCGGGGCAATGACGTATGCAGCCGACAAATGCGCACTCATGAGGACCCAGCCCCTGAATTGAGACACAGCCTCTATGTTCAGGTGACAAAGAGGTACCTGTAGCTGATACAAGACGACCTAGAAATGACACTTGGGAATGAACTGCCTGGAGCTTAGGTTTACTGACCTTAAACCCTGCCTGATGAAGAAGCTGTAAGATGGTGTGGGTGGCCTGCAAACAATCAGCAGAGGTCTCAGAAGCAATCAGGAGGTCATAGACATACTGAAGGAGGGTCGTGCCTGTGGGGAGGGGACAGTTAACCAGGAGATTAATAGCTCTAAGTTCATGAACCATCCTATATTTACCTGTGCCTGGTTTTTCAACAGGGAGGATGGGAGTGTTCCACTGTGAGCAGGATGGCTCCAACACACCAGCTTTCAGGAGGCCCTGAACTGTGTTTTGCAAACCTAAAGCTGCTTCAGTTTTGTGGGGATACTGATAAAGCCAAATGGGATCTGTGGGATGTAGTTGAARAGAAAAAGGAGAACAGATGCTAAGGCCTACATATTCTGGTCCTCTGGACCAGAGCGAGTSAGGGAGTGATGACAACATTTTAGGAACATCAGGGTGATCTGATTTTTCTCTACCATGGTCTCTGGAAATCAGTTCGTGTGTCAAGGTGCCCTGGTCAGAGGTGGTAACAGCAATAGAGTAGCAGTCAGTAGAGGGTGAGAATGAGACACAAGGGAGCTGAGTGGGAGTCCAGTCTGTAGCACCAAGCTCTGCTTTTACCATGGGGCCTAAGTCTTTAGCCTGGTGTTTGGGAGAGAGAGCAAGGGACACATGTGGTACTGCCTCTGCCGTCATTCTATACCACTCTAACTGTGAGGGGGACAGATTGACATGTGAGGCTACCCCTTGAGGCCCTACAACGATCTTATCAGAGGGTAAAGACCACTCTGTATCTTGTAGGTCTGAAACAAAAGCTTCATGATAACATTCATCTGACTTACGGTCATAAAAGAGAGTGACATGAAGAGGGTCTGTAGGAGGGACATAAGGGCGGAGGGCGTCCACCCACGGCTTCCAAGATAGGAAAGCAGAGAGGATGCCAGTGTGCTGTGGGTTTTCTGGATGCAGTAGGACCCAATAAATGTCAGCCACTTCAGGTTGGATCGGTTGCAGCAGATACTGGGAGGATAAGTGAAAGRATGATTGAGAGGATGCAGAACATGTCCATTGTGTCCCATCCAACAGTCTGACAGTGAGTCCAGTTGATTCACACAGGATTAAGGCCCCTAATTTCTTTAAAAGGTCCCGCCCCCACAAGTTAATGGGAACATCACTGGAAAGGACAAAGGGATGGGTTGTAGATTGGGTCCCCACTGACACAGGCAGAGGCTTAGACAGAGGTAGTCTTTGTTGTTCCCCAGAAAAACCCACAACAGACACAGTAGCGGTTGTTGCATGCTTGTTATACTCAGAGTCTTTCAAAGTCGAGTAGGTGGCACCCGTATCCACTAAGAAAGGGAGGGTCTTATTCAAGACAGTCATTTGCACCATAGGATCTGCCCCTCCTCCTATGTGCTGGGTTTTTTGTGGGGTGTGTCACTGCTGAAGATGTCCCTCAGGACCATGCCACTGAGCCCAGTCTCCGGTCATGTTGGGGGTACTGGCCAGTTGGAGCCATTTGTGGATTAGGAGCTGGATGCTGTGCTCCTCCACGTGGGGGACCTTGTCCCTGTCTCAGAAAGCAGTCTCTGGTCCACTGCCCAGGTTTGTGGCAGAAATGACAAACATCCTGTGCTCTGGGTTCCTGCATGTAACCACGGCGGTAACCCCTACCCCGCTGTCCACCTCTAGCCCTCCACTGGCCTCTAGGGGCCCATTGGGGCTGCTCATAAGTGACTGGAGGTGTTGGCAAAGGTGGTACAGGGGGTGTGTCAGGTGATGCTGCTACAGCTGCCAGCATTTGCTTTTTGTCCTTCCTGGGGTTGACCACATCTCTGGCTTGCTTCAACTGTAGTTTAAGTAACTGGGTTTGCATGTCCTCTAAATCAGTTTTAGCTTTGTTGGCTTCATCAGCAGCTTTCTGCAAGTGATGAATTAAAGTTTTTCCCACATATCAGAATCAGCAGAAGGCAAGTCTGGATTAGATTTCATAGCATCAGTCACCGAGGCAGGCACTCTATCCAGGATGGCCTGTCTGAAAAAATGTCTTTGCTCTTTACTCTGGCCGTGGCAGTGTGTCCAGTCATGCCAATCCTGCTTACACTGATCTAAGTAGGAGGTAGGGTTCTGTCCAGGTTTCCACTGAAACTTGGGAACACCTGCTCCCTCTGGGAGAAGATAAGCCTCTCTCAAAGCTGCTTCCAATGCTGTGATGTGTCGGGTCATTGGGTCAGAGTCGGGCACATGACTCCCCCATTTGGCTGCAACTTCTATTTCACACATCTTGGTAGAAGTCACACATTTTGCTAACAAAGCTCTTATGTCACCCACAGCTAGAGTCTTCCCTTTAGTAAAGCTGTTAACTGCATTTAGCCACTTACTACCTTCTTCAGTCAGTGGGGGAAGTCTGTCCACTAGGGCCTGTATGTCACCCAAGKMAAAAGGTCCATACTTAATCTGGCCACTAGAGTGCAGTAGAGGATAATTACCATGATCAGATGTGTTAAGGTTTTCTTCCTGCTCCTGTGGATCTTTCTTGACACTTGCTGGGGATGGAAAGTAAACTGCAGGGAGACCAGAGCTTTGGGACACATCACCTTCACATGGGACAGCGAGCAGTTCAGATGTAATTCTGACTGGTACTGACCAGGAATCACTATTCATCTGTCTGTGAGATTGTGTGACATGTGGATGTTCTATTTGGGGAAACTCAGGCCCATTATCCCAGCCTAAAAGGGGCTGGGAGTCAGGGGTGATGGACAAGGTGTGGCTGCTTGGAGGCAGTGAGCTGAGAGGATACGACTGAGCCACACTCCCCAGGGAGGTGCTTTCTGTGCCTACAGACTGTAGTGATGTGGGCGGTGCCGATCTTATTAATTTGAATGGGTCTACTTTTGTAAGTTCATCTGTGTTCAAAGAACTCAGATCATCCATGCACGCTCTATAAGGCGAACTTGTGACTGTGCGGGCTTTCATGACGACCAGTCTCTCACGTTCTGGTGCTATTTCTACTGTGCCCTGTTTAACATCAAAAAATGGAAACATACCAGGTGCAGTTGGAAGTGGAGGAGGGTTCGTGTGTAAGTAAGGGGGAGGCTCAGCAGTGTGTGTCCTTTTCCTCACTTCCTGTAGCTGCAACCGGAGACGGCTCTGCAGAAGATGTGTTGTTTGCTTTATCTCTAATGTCAGTGACTAACAGATGGGTGAGGCCTTGAGCGATCAATGCCAGATGACTCCACTCTTTACAGTTGACCTCTGCTTCACTTAACTGTTTTTTCCTCTTGACAAACACACTTCCTGCCTCTTGCCTCTGCACCTCAATCTGCTCTTTCTCCTTGTTACATTTCTGAACCTTGTCCCATATTAGATCAATCACACTGCTCTGTTCAGGGTTGTCAGAAAATTCATCTAACCTTTGCTGTAACTGTTTCTCTACATTTTTATCCAAAACAGACAGGGAGACCGCTTCTTTTACTATTTTAATTTGTTTTTGTAAAGTTATAGGCTTACCCTGTAGTGGTATATTTTAACCAATCCCTCCTCTATTTCTCTGTCAAATTCACCATCCATTCCTGCACACACAATCAGGTCCCTCAAAATCTTTATTATTTCAGGAACACTGGAGACAACGCTACCCCATTAACCAGAGGATGTTCCTGCACAGCCTGAACGTTCCTATTGGCAAGCCAGACCATCAGAAATTTTTTTGCTTATATCTCCTCCGGAACTCTTTTATTTATTCCTCATTCACTCAGCTGGTCTTATGGATAGACAGAGCCTCACTGCTCGACAGGCTGACCACAGAGGAGTATCAGTCCTCTGCGCCAGTGACTGACAATCAGGGAGACGAGACACAGAAGACAGGCCTACTTTCTTTTTCACACACACAGCCACGCGAGACTCTGACACAAAACCAGTATCATATTAGGGCGGCACGACGGCTCAGTTGTTAGCACCGACGCCTCACAGCAAGAAGGTCCTGGGTTCGATCCCTGGTTCGGACCTGGGGTCTTTCTGTGCG